CTGTGGACTGAAGTTGATCCTCAGTTCTGGAGGCATCAGATTCTAACAATTCAGTCTGTGGCTGCAACAAGAATGAAGGCATGGACTTTAAAAACTTCAGCAAAAGTCTGATGTCTGGAAGAAGAGCTTTCAGAGACCTGACCACTCTCCCTGTCTCTCCTCAGTGGCCAACTCATATTCTTGATTATATGCCCTTTAACTTTGCTAAATGTCATTTCCTCAAGAACAAAGCCTTTCAAACTTAATGACACAAGAGGCAAGAAGAACACAACACAAGTAAATACATTTGTCAGAAGAAGACAGAAACTCTGCAAAATCAGACCCTTTTCACAGTGCCACCACCTACTCTGTGGTATCTTCAGTTTCACTGATTTCTCTTTGGGTACTTGGGTAGGGTCCTCAGGATAATTGGAAGTTCAAGAAGAAAATGTTATGTAGATTTAAACTGTATTCTCTTGATTTTTAACTGAGTTCAACAAAGAAAGATACTGGACACCATGCCAAACACAAGTGAAACAATCTTTATTGAACACAAAACACAATAAAAGAGGAGTGTATTTACAAAAAGAGGCACCTTTGTTGGAGAGAATAATTATACTCGAGAACTGCTCCACACTGGTATACCAGCATATTTTTTGTAGGGTTCTTCTTGCACTACCTATGTCATATTTTTCATTCCCATAAAAATAAGAGAGATTGTAACCTCTAGATATCACTGTCTATCTATTCTCACATCTTATTTATAACTTTACTAACATAGTTTGTATGAGAGTGCATGTGTGATAACATAGTTGAATGGCCCAGAACATTAAGTAACTCGGATGAAAGGAATGTAGCCACTACTCTGACCAGGTGGTTAGGGTGCACGACTCGCAATCTGCAGGTCATGGGTTCGAATTCCCATCACACCAAACATTCTCGTTCTTTCAGCTGTGGGGGCTTTGTAATGTGATGGTTAGGTTAGGTGATGGTAAAAGAGTAGCTCAAGAGTTGGTGGTGGGTGGTGATGACTAGCTACCTTCCTTCTAGTCTTGCACTGCTAAATTAGGGATGGCTAGTGCAGATAGCCCTTGTGTAGCTTTGTGTGAAATTCATAACAAACTAAGCTGACCAATTTTCTATGCTAAACCTGCAAATTCTTGGACGCAAGAAAGTTTTGAAAAATTTTTGAACTTTTGAATTCACTAAAGGACTTGAAAATCCATAGTATGCCATTGTTTGTTATTTACTTGTAGTTTCTTATACTTTTAGTAAGGCAGAATTATACTGTTCCTTGTCTCAATAAAAATGCAGCATTTATCTCTCATTGATAAGGGAATAATTCTTACCTAATGGTACATACATATTGCATGTATTCATAATATTTTTTGTTGAAGAATGATCACAAAAAGTATACCATCTAATAAGTGTATATTGGGCCTATTCATTGATCATAGTTTTGGTGTGAACTAAATTAAGCTAGTGAACTGTAATTTGTATTAATTTTATTTATGTGAAAGGCTGTATTTATCTAACAATGATAAATACAGTCTTTGATGTTTTTAGTAATATAAATGTGACAAGTGATGTATAGTTTAATATTTTATGCTTTATTTTGTTTCTCAGACATTTGATATAGCAGAAAATGAGAATTTTGTCATTTGCACTCTCAATCGAGAAAACATTTGTGATGACTCTTCATTTGATACTGGTAGGTTTTGTTTATTTTGTAATTTGTGTAAATGACAAATGTGTATATTGTACATTTGGTATTTAATGTTTAAATACTCTCTCATTAAATATAGGGAATGTCATTTGATGAATTAGTATATCAGTAAGGTTGACCTATAGTTTGAAAAACTAATTGAAATTCTTATTATCAAATAAACGTCAGAATTGAATATGCATGATTACTTAATACTTACATTTCAATTTGACTAGTACATAAACACTAAGCACCATTTGTGTGTTCACTAACAGAGAAGAGCTCAGAGGTACTGCCCTCATCATCTTATCTACAGGGCTAACAGAAAACAACAAACCAAACATTCGTTGTTGTTTTTTCTCACTGTTGAACTGTGCACTAAAACTAAGTATTAGATAAATACATTATACTTGTGAAATTTTGTATGTTATTATTTTTTTTTAGTTATCTTTACTCCCAGCAATATCAGCAGTGGGGTTAACTAATTTTGTTGGGTAAAAACCAGGAGTACTTACACATCAGCCCACTGTGGGATCTGTACTCCCAGAATGCATAACAAACAGCTTGATATGTTTTTATTAGAGCATCCTTAAGTCTCTCTTGCTCATAAAGCAATAAGAAGTGTTATGTTCAGCTACACTTATTCTACAGATCTTGTTGCATCATATTTTAAATAGAAATGTTTATATGGAAATACTTGTGAAAGCATTGTCACGTTGTTTCACAAAAACAACAGTGTGTGTTTTACCGATTGTTAAAAATGTTTATCTTTGAACTTAATATATATTTGACAAAACTGATGTGTAAATTATGAAAGTTTGAATCCTCAATCTAATTAGGCTTGGTGGTTAAGATGCTCTACTCACGATCTATGGGTTGTGGGTTCAAACCCCTGTTCACCAAACATGTTTGCCCTTTCAGCTGTGGGGTGTTACAATGTGATGGTCAGTCTCGCTGTTCATTGGTAAAAATGTAGCCCAAGAGTTGGGGGTGGGTGTTGTTGACTAGCTGCTTTCTCTCTAGTCTGTCACTGCTAAATTAGGGATGGCTATTGCAGATAGCCTTCGAGTAGCTTTGCACAAACTCAAAACAAACCAAACTTAGTTTATTTAATTAGATTTTGGGAAAAACTCATTAACATTACAATATTTAACTTTAAAACATCATAACCACAGTTGTGTGGATTAAGTGTGCACGGTAAATGAGAAAAATGTACGATTTTATTTCTAAGGTTTATTAAACACTAATAATTGTAGTTTTTGTTAATGTATTTTTGGTAATACAAAAAGTTTTTTTATGAATACTAAATTTCTTTTTAGATATAATTTTAACAGTTTTTTTGAATACTATTTTATTTTTTATATTTTGCAGATCTTTGTTCCATCGTAGAATATACTTTGCTTCAGATATTTATTATTACCATTATTGTTGTGAAATATGGAAATAAAAGATCTCGGTAGTAAGGGTATCTATAGCCTTTTAAATAAAAAAGTATTTCAGAAAATCATATTTCTAGGACTTGATAATTTGCTAGGAAGATTTTTCTTTTTCGTAAATAGTATATAAATAACGAAAATAATTCATGTCCGTAATAACAATTTCCTTTGCTACTTGACTGATTAAATTTTTTAATGAAAAAATAATAATCTGAAATTATAAACTATTTAATGTTCTTTTAAACAAATATTCATTTGTGTAATAACATTACACCAGATTATCATAACTGCCATAAAAAATAAATTTTTTTAAAATTTTGCTTGGGAATAAGTTGGATAAATTTGTATTTTTTTTTTTTACTTCCCCATAGCTCTCAGGAACGATGTGAGCAGTATAACTGTGCTCCAGGAAATTAATCAGGATCTACCAGCTCCAACGGAAGAGAAAATTGAATACCTGCCTCATTATGACACACTTCTTAAGAGTGGAATGTACGAATACTATGCATCTGCTGGGCAGGATCCACTCCGTGAGTGATCTGTTATTGGAACCTTATCCAATTGACCGAAATTTGATATGTTGAAAATTATTTTGAGCAACTTCTTTCTAATCTACGATATTTCATTTTCTAGGAGAGAAGGGATGTAGAAATTATGGAAACTTTCTGATACAAGGTTATTTATATTCCATCCAACACACGGCGTAATCCAATAAAATGTGATTATAGTATCAGTAGGTGTTAAATTACCTAGTATAAGAAATATGCTTGAATATATCCGTTATCCATGGTCTGTGTATTAAGTATTTGTTCTCAATAAAATACTAAAACTAATAGATGTTGAATATTTGCCTGAGGGATAGTCTTTGGTACAATAGGGAGGGTTATATTATAGATTGTGTTACTGAAAATGAGCATTTACTTTTGTAAACATTTTGAAAAACGTAAACTTTACATGCATTTTTTCACATGTAATATAAGAATTAAAAGAAACTGTAATAAAAGTTTATTAGTAAGCCTAATATTTTCTCTTCTTCAGAAACTATAAAAAAAAACATTATAATTTATCCGAAAGAAGGCCGAAGGCTGCCTGGAGTGGTTATCTTTTTAACCACTTGCACCATTATACAGTAGTATGTTGTCTGTTAGTAAGTCAGTAGATGGTAAAATGACGTCACATAAGGGATGTTAACTTTTCAATATGTGCTGTCATGACATCAGTAAAAATGTGCGCATGCCATGAATCACGAGAAGAATTATGCCTACAACACAGCATCACATGAACTTTAAAAGCAAGAAATAAAAACATATATTACTCTTAATTTTGGTTTTATTTACTCTTGAAACAGAACACTTTTGGGGACTCTGCAGAAGTACATCTAGTCATAATTATATTTGACTATTAACTTTTAAGGACAAATTAAATGTTACAAAAGTGTCATTCAGTTACTTGTGTGTTGATACATTTTATGTTGTTCTTAATTCTACAAAATTGTAAGGTGTGCAAAAAGTATAAAGTTTTGATATGCAACAATTTGATTAGGAGTAATGCATTATTAATATTAATTAAATACATTTTGTTTTTTGTTTCAGCATATGCTTTAGCAGAATTGATTGACAACTCTCTCATGGCAACAGCTCACAATAAAGGTTGTAGAAAGATAGAGCTGAGACTGGTAGGTATTGAAATAAACTTGATATAGTCTTCAAAAGATATATCTAGATTTTAAGCATTCCGACACCGAAGGTTACAGCGGTTATATTTTCATCCCTGTATATTTGTGTGTTTGTCGGCAAGATTTCTTGAAAATGGCTTGTCATTTGTAATATGACCCAACTTAGAATTGATTAGCTTTTGGAGAGTAAAGGTGAAGGCAAGGTTACGAAAATCCAAAAAAAATCCCTTCGGTGACGAGGAACCCACTTTGAGACTAATAATGGTTGGAGACGGC